TATGTATATTTATATTATATATATGTATAAATGTATATGTATGTATATTTATATTATAAATCTATGTATGTATGTATATATTTATATATATATGTATGTATGTATGTATGTATGCTGTATGCATGCATACAGTCTTGGATGTATATATATATGTATATAGAGACATATTTATATATATGTATATGTATATATTTTTCTCTATATATATATATATCAGATCTATATATATATATATACATATATATATATGTATATATATATATATGTTTATATTTATATTTATATTTTTTCACTTGTTTATATAAATTAATAAATATGTCTCTATATGTGTTTATGAGAATATACATATATCGTAAATACATATACATAGATGTATGAATATATATATATATATGTGTGTATTTGTATTCACATTTGTAAATGTATATATTTATATTTGTATATATATATATCTTTAAATATATACGTGTATGTACATATTTATATATATATATATATATATAGTCAGATTTATAGCCATATATATATATATTCATGTTTATATATAAATATGAATATATGTATATGTCCATGTATTTATATGTATATACTAACACTTATACGTGCTTACATATATATATTTATATATTTGTATACTCGTGTATGTACAGATACACAAGGACAAACACAACATATATATATATGTACATGTATATATATATGTGTTTGTATGTGTATATATATGTATATTTGTATATATATATACTTTTAAATATATATACTTTTAAAAATATCTATGTGTGTAAGTCTGTGTGTGTTTGTATGTATATACGTATATATATATATATATGTATATTTCTTTATAGAAATATATATATTTCTTTTATTTCTATATATATATAGAAATAAAATATATATATGTATGTATGTATATATATGTATTTATGTATGTATATATATATATATATATGTATCCGTATATGTATTACATTCATAGGTTTATATATTCATATATACAATCATACATACATATATATACATATATATATATACAAGTATATTTATGTTTATTTATATATTTTTGTATATATTTGTGTATATATGTTTTATTATTTATTTATTTATATGTATATATATATATATTATTATATATATATACGGAAATATTTAAATAGGTACTCATTTTTACTTTGAAAAGTACTTTATGCATCCATCTTCATATATTTGTTGGGTTTTTTCAGTTGTTAGTAAACTTAATCACGAACACGTTTTTGTACAAAAGGGCAAAGTATGTTTTTTTTTTGGTTTAGGTTGCTGTGTACTGATAAACTGGAGTACATACATTCACATCAAAATTTGCTTGTCGGTATATGCATTGCTGTTTATATAGTCTCGTGCGCTATTGCGTATATCATTGGTGTTGCTTACTGTATCCATGCGTAGAATGTAATCGAATTTGTACTTTGTATATATATTTGGGTAAATATATATATGGATTCTATATATGTATTCTTTTTGCATATCGTTATGGAAGAAAAGTACATATACTTGACATGTGGTGAACACGCAGCATGCATTCTTAATAGATATGGCAAGGGAGGTAATTCTCAGTCTTGGACAGAAGCGTGTTCGGCTGTCTCCATGTATGTAGTGTATCGTGTGTGTGGATGTACAGAAGTATGTTTTAATATTCTTCTTTATATCGATGCTAAAGGCAACTGTTTGTATTATCGAAACATGAACAGACCAAGCGTTTCAAATTCGTATTTCTATACGTAGGTTTGCCCAGTTCGCTGTTTGTGCGTGTATTTTATAGATGGTGATATAATTCCCATTCAAGCTCTCAAGCTCTGCACCCGTATAAATTGCTGCCCCAAAAAAATAATGAGCAGTTTGTGTGTTCATTTTTAATTCGAAATTTTAATTATATCTTTGGAATTCGAAATTTTTATGATTTCTGTAAAAAAATATCTAAAATGAAATATGCGCGGAGAATGCAAGTATGGCATCGAATGTTTATAGGCGCGGAGAATGCAAGTATGGCATCGAATGTTTATATGCGCGGAGAATGCAAGTATGGCATCAAATGTTTATATCCATTTGAAACTTTTTGGCCGATTTTTAGGACGAAGGCGATGAGGACGACGACGAAGACAAGACCGGTGTCTACGTACCACCCAGAATTACAGCCATGCCTTTCGCTGATGACTTCGCCGGAGACAAGAAAGTATGTATCACTCATCTTGTATCCTGAAAGCTTAACATCCACTTTTGGAGGCGGCTCTCATGTTGGCAAAATGACAATCTGTTAAGAATTGATGGTTTCAGAAATTCGCAGACTGCGTGACCATATTACTAACACGTAATTTGCCTTTTCAGGAAAAAGATAAGATGCGGGATCTCAATAAACTGAGAGACTCTGAAGTATACAGAGAACTACAGGAAGAGCTGACGGAAGATCCTCGCGAAATCAAGGACTACAGTAGGCTATTGGATACAGAGGTCACTAACAAAAAGGAACAGATGGACAAATTAAGATTTGAGGAAGATAATTACAAGCGATTGAACGATGTGAAGAAGAAGAACAAAACTACTAAATTTGTCAAGTATGTAATTGTCAATCTTCCTTGTAGACCAGCAGGATGCTGTTTTGTCTGCATCCGCATGTGTGAGATCGTTGATGCGTGCGTGCACTGGGGATAGCATTAGGCATTGCATGATTTGCTGTTATGTGTTAAACGTAAGGGTGTAATGACCGGGTAGTGTGTGGAGTGAAGACTGCGGCACCCAGAGTGTGCTTTCTTTTCGTCATATGCATTAATATAACATTTGTAGTATTTGTATGTTAACACCTTTCTCTACACCAATTGCACACAGGAGCGAGTTGGATTCCATCACTGACTTCGGTGGATTAGGCGCGCTAGCTCGCCGGAGTAAAAGGAAAACTGTAGACGAGGATGAGGAACCAGGTATGTTACAGCCAATCATAAAATTGTATCAACGCAACACGTTCGTTACTTAAATATGAACAGTTTATTCGCCCGGAGAGACAGGGGGATGTGTGGCCTATTTTTCTATTTTCTTGCAAGTTGAGATTGAAATTTTTTGTGTTGATGCATCAATGTGTCTCGATGTAGTCAGATGAATTTTGTCGGTAATTCTTATTAAGCTTTGTCAATGAGATTGTGTTGCTGAGAGACTACATGAATTTGTTGCATATCGAGAGATATCCGACAGTTTTTGCAGTCACCTATAAGTTCGTATATATGTCCGTATGTATTTTGGTGTGATGGGATTATTGTATAGTTGGCTTTAGAACGGCATCAGCGACTTGGGAATGCGTGCTTAGACACTAGGACAGGTTCGCTCAGCATCTACACGAATCTATACCAAATATAGGTGCCTTCAAGAAAAAACGTATGTTGAAGGACTACCAGAAAGCAGAGAAGGGTAAGATGAAGGGCAAAAGACGAGGAGGAGGGTCATTCAAGAAAGGGCGGAATTAAGGCCCTGATGTGACCTAGACTATATCGCTTCTAAAGCTAAACATATAAAACAACAAATATAATAATAATTCCAATACGGGTTTAATTTGGGTCGTTCGTGTTGTTATGGCTTGTATGGAAGAATCAAACGCAAACCTGTGCACCAGAGCAATACTAAATACCTGCCGACCTAAAATTCTAGTAGATGTGATGCAGAATCAACTTCCACTGCTATTCTGGAATCGAAAGTTCGATACAATTCATTTCCAAAAAAAGCGTTGGGTGCCCCGAACAAAAAAAATGAATCCCATTTTCGCGCAGCCTACCACCGGATCACACATCAGGGATACGCGTATTTGTCATCCGCGGGGAAGAGAGCTGTGTGTTTAGTGCTGCAAGTAATGGAACAAGTAAATAATGAGTCAGGACCACAGTACATAGGCATGCAAAGAGTGGGCGAGGCCAACATTTATGTGCAGGCAATAAAACCGTATCAAATGTCAGCGCAGATCAAAACGACATAAAGATGAACTGCGACAAAAAAAAATGCCAATCAAACAAAGGACAGTATTTGTAAGTGATGACAAGCTGCGTCTCCTTGATTGCTCAAAGAATGGTGCAGACTAGTGGGTATGGAAGATTTATGGCCGTGAACTACTACGCATATAGTCAGCCATTTTTAATCGACGATTGCGACTTGAGTGAGAAACATTGGTATCGTGGGTACGTCATATTTCACCAAGTTGACCGAGGTGTATCTATATCACGTCACGTTTACTACCACACTTACGCTGAGCGAGGCGTGTTCATCATGTCAGCCACCGTGTCTCTCCACTCCTTATAATGGTCCGTTTCTTTGTGGGCGGCCGGGGCATCGGGGTTGCTGTATATTTCTATCAGCGTGAACTTCGTATTGTCGTCATTATTCTGCATAAAGGTCAGAATATCAAAACAGCTCTCCGAAAACTAAATAATCAATTAGTTGGTAGCGGCAGAATAGCAGCTCCCACCTTCACGTTGAACGAGGCACCTTAATTACGTGCATGTCAATGCGTAGTCTGTGTTCCGGTGCGTATATGTTTCCAGGGATTGAGCTTACTACCAAAATGATCACTGTCGTAGTGCACCAACAACATCTGCGCCACCTAGAGCTTCGAACAACTGCATGGACACCTTGTACATCCAAAATATAAACCCGAACGTGGATGCAACCAGAATTCTGCACGCGTATTCGAGATTCATAATTCGGAAGAAGAAAAAACACCTCACAATTTGTGCTGTCCGCAAATAATCAAACACGTGCTTTTTAAGTGCGAAGTGTATACCTGTAGAAGATCGAAGCGGACGATGCCTGACTCTTTTTGAGAAGCTGTGGCGTTTTTGATGGATGCATCGATGAAAGCCTGCTCCATTCCGGGCTGATGTGATATAGGGATTCAAACTAGATATTAATATGGGTAGTTGAGTCTGGTAACAGCCTGTGTGTGATTGCGGAAAGTGGCAAAGTCCTGACGGTGTCATAATGTTCCAATCCCCGCTTGAAAAAACTGCGATAGTCAGAGTTCCTGAGCTGAAAACCAATAGGTGAGAGACCTTTTGTAAGCAAGATCAGCGAGAATGCCCCTTTGATGTATGCTAGTTGCAAACGTGTCTTTTGCTCATAAGATAAATACTACTGTCTACACACCGTTGGAGGGTTTACGTGAATACGAAAGTACCAAAAAACGTTAAAGCATACAAGCGCTGAACACTGAAGTGTTAACTGACGTTCTATCGAACAACCCTTCGAGATTGCTTCATCAGCTACACAAGCAATTGATATAAGTACGAATATGGGAAGACTCCTCTTTTCTGATTGCCTACATTCTCGATAATACCACATAATAGGAGGAAATTTTCACCATATATAGACCTAAGCCATTATACGGCGAAAGAACAGATATATGTTTGCATCGTAATTCGTCTTTTGTTAATTACTGTGTACACATTACTGGACGGCAGATGTGAACACGACAATACCAAACAAAGTCAAATCATACAAGCACGGAAGTATTAATAGATGTATGTACTAAGAAACAACCCTTGAGATTGCTTTATCACCTGCACAAGCGATTAAATGAAGTACGCCTATATAAAGCCTCCTCGCATTTCTCATCGCCTACAATCTTGATACTGCTAAAGTCAAACACATACATGAAGCAATTCCCACCATTTTTAGGCCTGAGCCATTATACGGCGGAAACAGAGATATATGTGTACATTGGGAATATCTACGAGGTGGCACTGCACGATACTTTCCCTAAACTTTTAGCAAGCAATTAGTGCATATAGCTGAGTTTAGAACATAAATATTAATTGAATAGATCAATATGACATACAATGCTCAATTCTCATGCACA